ATCAGACTGGATGGCACTGCAGCAGGAGAATCGAGGAACCAGGCTGGGCACAAATTTCTAACCCACAAACTCGTGAAATGAAGTGAAAAAGTAAGTTGCTCCAAGTCATGAAGTTTCCGAGTATTTATTACGCAGCAGTGGATAACCGAGACATCAGATCTGGAGGGAGGCTCGGGTACGGGCACATTTAACAAGACCCTAAGATAGTTCTAAGAGTCATGGAAACACTTTGGAGACACACCAGAAAGCGACCAACTCCCAGGCCAGCGCCCCTAAGGTGTGAGTCTACATCCCAGCATGTGCAAAGAGACAAGGAAGAGTTGGAGAAAGGGAGAGCCGAGCACATTGTTTGGAGAAGAGGAAAGAGAGAGGACAGTTTGGCGACAGAGACGAAAAATCAGGTGGCTCAATGCAACCATGATTCTTGCTTCCTCCCCACGGCACAGGAGATAGGGACACATGTGACCCAGCCCTGCCGTGTGAATCTCATCTAGACACAAAATGTCGCAGAGGGAGCCAGAGACTGAGCAGAATAAAAGAAACTGAGCAGGGTCACTCAGGTGACTCTACCAGGCCAGCAAGTGAAGGACATAAGCCTGGCCTGGCCTGGCCTCTCGACCCGGGGCTCCTCTTGCTCTCCCTCTGCACACAAGGTCCCTGGAAGGGCCCACTGGGCACAGGGGAGGGGGCTGCCCAGAAGAGGAGTTCACCCTGGAGGTGAGGATAGAAACACAGGGGGAATGGAGAGAGGTGCCACCACTGGGAACAGTAGGTATAAAGGTCCACGGGGGTGCAGGGGTAGGGAGCGGGAGATGGGGAGGCAGGTTGCAGCACGTGAGTCTGGAGCATGAATCCACCCTGATGCGAGGCACTGAGTCAGCGGCTTTACCCCGCCTCGACTTTGGAAAGGCTTATTCATGGCACGGTTGTTTTCTGATGGCAGAACATCAGACAAACAAATTGTTGGCGGGTGAAGCAAGGCTGACGAAGGATTGAGAAAGGTCCGATTGCATTTAGATATTCAACCAGCAAATACTTATTGAGCATCTACTATGTGTCAGAGCTGGGAACAGAACCATGAGCTAAGTCCTTGGCCTCCCAGAACTCAAGGTCTAGAGTGTGAAGACAGAATCAAACACAGAGGATGATAATACAGCATATGGCAATAAGAAAAAATAAGGGTACTCCGCAGGCGGTGGATGAATGATCAGGAAGCACATGAAAAAAAGCTCAATTTCACTGATCGCTAGGGAGGTGTAAATAAAAAGGCAAATGAGACAGCAATTCGCACCCGCTAGGATGACCGCTGGCTAAGAAAATGATAAATACTGGTGAAGAAGTGGGGAGAAAATGGAGCCACTGTGCGTTACCGGAGGGAGTGTATGATGGTGACAGCGTTGTGCAAACAGCTGGGCTGTTCCTCAAAACCTTAAGCATAGAATTAAAACACAATCCTGCAAGTTCACTTCCATGTTGTATTTGTCACCTTTCCAGTGCTGAGACAAAATGCCTGAGAAAATAAACCTAAAGGAGGAAAGATTTATTTTGTCTACAGTTTTTAGCGTCCAAGGGCCGCTGGCTCTATTGCTTTAGGCCTGAGGCCTGGCGGAGTATCAGGGCAGTGGGAACAAGTGGCAGAGGACTCCTCACCTTGTGGCAGCTGGGGAGAGAGAGAGAGAAAAAGGGGCTAGGACAAGATATAAACTTCAAAGACAGGCGCCAGAGACCTACACTAACCAGGACTTATCTCCTGATGTTCCTACACCCACCAAGAGCACCACCACTGTGGATCAAGCCTTTAACATATGGGTCTTCATGGAATGATCCAGATCCAAACTATAACATTAGCAGCATTATTTGCAATAACTAAAACACGGAAGCCACCCAAGTGCTCATCAACAGATGAGAGGACCGTGGCCTATCCACAAGGCAGAATATTACTCAGTCTTTAAAAAGAAGGAAGTTCTGTTCTATGTCTTGACATAAACTGTGAAGACATTATGCTAAATGAAGTAAGCGAGTCACAAAATGACATGTACTGTCTCATTCCACTTAAATGAAGTCCCTCGACCCTTCCAACTTAAAGAGACAGGAAGAAGAACATGAGTGCCAGGGTCTGGAGGAAAAGAGTGCATAGAGGTAGTGTTTAATAGGTGCAGAGCTTTGGTTTGGGAAGATAAGCAACATTCTGCAGATGGATGGTAGGTTGTATGACAACGTAGATGTACATAATGCTTCTGAACTCTTGCATTGGAATTGGTTAAAATATAATGTTATGCATCATTTACCATGATAAACAAATTTTTTAAGAGGGGAAAAAGGGGGCTAGGCAAGTAGATACTGTTTTATATGGGAAGCTCTTGGAGGGATTCACCCATCAGTGCCATCGAAGACAGATTCCAAAGGAGAGGGAGGCACAGGGCAGAGTCTAGTACCAAGGCCAGGCCCAGCCAGACCTGGTGATGAGGAAGAGGGCAGAGTCCCAAGAGGTGAAGATATGCAGGCAGAAGGGAGGGACTGCAGGGCCTAAGGACCCACAGATTCCGACTTGGAAACCAGACTTGGGCCAGGTGAGGTATACGGGTCAGGACCCAGAAGGGAATTGTACCCTCCCAAAGTCTGATCAAAGGGAGCCTGGTCAAGGGACTGCACGGAGGTGCAGATGAGGATACGAGAATGGGCCAGTGCCCCAGGGAGGTAATCCAAAGCCAGAGCTTGGCCAAAGCTGGAGAAGAGGCCACTGGATGGGAGTTGGAGAGGAATAAACCACTCTCCACTCTCTCCTCCCACCCTCTGCTCTCCTAGTGATGCCCCTGTTGGGTGAGCTCCACCAGAAGCCAAGAGCAGGGGAGTCTGGGTAATCTGTCTGTAGAGGTCAGCTCCCCAAGGCCCAGAGCAGAGAATGGACTCAAAAGAGCCAGCAGTAAAGCCAGCACAGATGGTACTGCCATTTGTTGAAATGAGTTGAGCAAGGTCAGGAGCACTTTTTGGGAAATTAGCGGGCTGAGCAGAGAAACCAAGGTAGATGTCTAGTCTTATGAGCTAGGGTAAGGACTGTAAGGGATGAAGAGGAACACGGGGACCAAGAGACAGCCTAGGCTTCCAGGGCTCCCCCGTGGACTGAAGGCCCCAAGGCAGCTGGGGAAGTTTGCTTCAAGCTTGCAGGCACCCCTAAAGTACCTCCCACTGGCTGGGTGTGGTGGTGCACTGTAATCCCAGGGGCTTGGGCCGAGGCAGGAGGATGGCAAGTTCAAAGCCAAATTTAGCAACTTAGCGAGACCCTGTTTCTAAATGAAAATGGCTGGAGATGTGGTTCAGGGCTTAAGCAGCCCTGGGTTCAATCCCTGGTACCAAAAAAAAAAAAAAAAAAAAAAGTACCTCCCACTGTAAAGCCAGGGAGGCAGGGGCTACTGAGACAGCCGAGGGGAGGGCAGGAGGAGGTGTGCCAGCTGGGGTAATATTCCCCAGCCTTAGTTCCAAATAGACTTGAAGCCAAGGCTTGTTTGGCTCCAAGTCAGTGTGGCGAGGTTTCATATGGCCAACTTCAGTTAAGGAATGGGCTTATCTGAGAGGAAAGGATGCCATGTCCCTGTACCTCTTCTGACCCTCCTCCATTCCTCTCCACACACCCAGCCAGAGATCCTCAAACAAGAAAAGGCTGCAAGGTCTCTGGGGGCTCTCTCCCAGCCCTTGATCTGCCTGCTCCCTGATCTTCCTTGGGAGGCCCAGATAGGCAGAGGGGGCAGCTTCTCCCAGGAAGGGGGAGCATGCTGCCAGGGGCTTAGACAGACCAAAGCCCCAGCAGATGAAATATTCATGCAGCCAGAAGGCAGGAGACCAGCTGAGGACTTGCCTTTGGGGCTATGGGGCTGCATTACTGCTGCCAGCAGCTGTAGCCCACCCCTCTTCTCCACCCTCAACCTTTGTTCTGCAAACAGGATCCTAACCCCCCCTCCCCATCCCCGCGCACGCGCACACACATGAATTACACACTCCAAAGACACAGGTAGGTGAAGAAACCTGGAGAAAGGAAGAGGGAAGGCGAGGAGGCACAGACTCCAGAGAGACAGGGATACAGACACAGACCTACAGACACAGGCAGGAACACACCCAGACACCCAGAGATGGCGCTTGATGGCATACAAATATTTCCTAGAATCTGTACCTCAAACTGCACCCCACCTGGATGCTGGGCCTCTGTCCAGCAGCAGGTGCCCGCATAGGGGACAGTCTGGCCTCTTTCCCAGATGTCCATGCCCCGGGGAGGTAGGAGCTGGGTTAGGAGCACTTTGTGAGAACTGGGTCTCACACAGGCTGACCTGCCTCACCGGAGTCCCGCCCGTCTCCGAGGCTCAGGCACTTCTAGCCCTGCCCCTTGAGACAGCATCATAGGCACCTCTGTTCGGCTCCAAGCAGGGGCCTCCACCTTCCTGGATTTCACTGGGAAAAGTTATCTGGGCTCCCAACGTCCCCATTCCCAAATTCTCTCCATTCAGTTTGCTCACTGAAAGGGCTAAAAACTGAGACCGGAGGCCCAAGGTCACACCAACTTGAATTCAGGTTCCCATATTCCAAACCAAGCAATCTCAAAGGCCCAGTGATTCCATTCTTAAGACCCTCTTCCTTTTGTTGTCTCCCATCGCCCACATATGTCCTGTCTCGCACCAACCACCAGGAAACATAATGACAAGAACTTCCTAGGGATGTCCCCTAGCCGGACCCTAGAGCCCTCTTAGACCCCAGCTGCGTGCACAGTCCTGGCGACATCTCTGGATATCGAGTGCAACCCTCAGATCTAAATTAATAACCTCCCTTTCTCCAGGTGCCTCGCGAAGCTGACGTTCCCCCACCTGCAAGGGGTGGAGCAGACCTCGTGGTGGAGCGTCCTGCCCCGACGCCTCGCCCCTTACCTTAGCGGCGATGGCCCTCCAGGCCTGGAGAGGGAGCTGTGGGCACTGGACCGCTCTAGCCGGCGGGCGGACCCGGAGCCGGCTCGATGGTGGTGCGCTGTCCAGCATTTCAGCAATCGGCAGCGGCGGCGGCGCCCGCGGGAAGACGGAGGGCGCGGGGCCGCGGGGCCCGCGGAGCTGCCGAGCCAAGCCGAGCCAAGCCAAGGAGGCGGACCAGACCAGCGGGGCGGCGGGGCCTGGCTCCAGCGACCGGCAGAGCGCGGCGGCCAGCGGGGAGGTGAGAGCCCCAGGTGGGGCGGGGGCATTTCCCAGAGGGGCTGGGGCTGGGCTGAACCTCGGGCCTCCCCAGCTGGTGACCCGGGCTGCAGGCCCCTGAGCAGAGGGTCATTGTTGGGGGACTGGTAGAGTTCTGTCCGAGGGTGGGAGGCACCTGGAGAACAGAGATGAACGTTGTTCTTTTCATAGAGAGAGATGGAGAAAGTGAGAGCCCTGCGGGTCATGGGCAGGACTCTCCTGGGTATAAATGATGGTGGCCCTGCCCACGAGGGTGGCAGGGAGGCCCCCATCCGCAATCCAGTTGCCCTCCCCCAACTGAGGAGGAAGGACCTACTCCCCAGGGAAGGGAGAGATAAATGCAGGGACCCTGTGGAGATGCTGGTCACTGGCAGAGGTGGAGGGAGCAGGCCCCCACCTGGATGCTGGGCCTCTGTCCAGCAGGGGGTGCCCTTATAGGGGACAGTCTGGCCCCTTTCCCAGCTATCCAAATGCCCCTGGGGAGGCAGGAGCTGGCAATGAGAACTGGGTCTCACACAGGCTGGCATTTACTTTCACACTGGGAAAAGGATGGAAGACACAGATGAGAAAATAGCCACTAGGAGTTTGGGAGGAGGGTTCTCAGTGGCCTCTCTGGATTCCCAGAGAGAGTTTCTAGAGCCCAGAGTGGGCCCAGCCTAATGGCAAATTCTTGGTACAGAGGAGAGCTGAGAAAAGAGACGCAGACTTTGCCTTGCCACCTCCTCCCCCTCCCTCCCAGGGCTCCTGCCTGGACAATGTTGAAGCCTCCTGCGGTTCCTGCTCCTGGCAGAAAGTCCACTGTGAGGGCAGGGCTGGAGAGAGCAAGAAAAAGGCACCCAGGTCTGACCTGGTACTCCAGATCCCGTGCTCTGTCCCAGCCATAACTTCTCACTCCTCCAAGAACCTCACTCACTTGCCCACTCCTGGCATTGGGGACCTGGGCTGATCTTTCGTCCTAAGTCAAGAGAAAAGGCAGATACTTTGATGGAGAGCAGAACAGGGGCTGGACAGTTCCTCTGTCTAGGGGGCATCTTAAGGTCATAGTCCTAGATTGTGCCAAATTCTTCCCCAGCCAGAAATAGGACCCAATTGTCTAGGAAAGTGCTCCCACACAAAACCAAGTTTGGGGTTCCTTAACTTTATGCCCCATCCCACTCTCCTGTGAGGGGTGGAGGAGGAATTCTTGAAGAGTGACTGAAGAGTGGATTGGGTTTTCAGGAGTGGGGGTGGGTGGGTTGGGAGTCATGGACTCTGAAGTCAGAGAGGCAGGGGATCAAATCTAGGTTATGTGACCTCAGGTAAGCCACTTAACCTTTCTGAGCCTCTTGCCCAGTCTGTAAAACAGGGATAGTGTAAATCATATCTCCTTTGCTGTTGAAAGACATTATCCAAATAATGAGTAGGAAACTGCTTTCAATCTGTAAGATGTTGGATGTGTATTAGTAAGAATTCCTTAAGGAGGGCTGGATAAAGGTGGGAAAGTGTTCAGCAATCCTCGAGACTTGTCTTTCTCCTCCAGAGGAGGTGGACAGTGGTCAAGGGCATCATGCCAAGCTCCACCCTAGGCACAAGGCTACACTGGGCTCAGTGAATCCTCACAAAAGCTTCCCATAGAAGTCATCATTGTCCCTTTTTCAGAGCTGAGAAACAAGGCTTGAGTGACTTTCCCAAGGTCATGAAGCCACTCATGCTGTCTTCCCTGGGGCAGAAGTGTTTGTTGACAACCTGTCCCAACCTCTTGATATCAAGCCTCAGTTAAATGCCAGTTTCTTGATTCGTGATGCCAGATTTACAGGTGGGGAGCCTGAGGCACATGGGTGAGACTGTACAGTGCCGTATAGATGACTCCCCCAAGGTCACTGGGATATTTGAAGGTAGAATGAACTTTGAATGGCAACTGGCTGCTCCCACCACCATCACTGTCCCACCTGCAAAGGGAGAGTCTGGGTCTGTCAGGCCCATTTGTTCACTATACCTGCATCCCTCATCCCCTGCCTGGCAGCCTCTTGCTAACCTCTGCAAGTCTGTGACTGCCCATTCCTTTTCAAATGCTCAGTCTTCACCCTCTGAAATGGCCCATGGCCACATGCAGCTGCCAACACTGCTGGGGTCAGTGTCCCTTACTACCTGCACCTCCTTTTCTGTTTACCTATACCCCAGGGGCAAAGTCAGAGCTCCTCCTATCCCAGAAGCCAGCCAGGGGCACTGATAAGGAAGTTGGTAGGCAGCTGCCATCCCTCTTCTCCTACATACGCTCTGAGCCCTACTCCTGGGCCCAACCCTTCACATAAATATTTTCATTCTATTCACTTGTAACCTGGTCCCAAACGTGCTGCTTCCTCCTTTTCTCAGAGAAGCACAACAAGGTCTAGAAATATGATGTGATGCTCCCAAGGTCATGGAGCAAGGTCTTGGCATAACCTAAGACCACTCCCTCAGGGCCCTGGGTGGCTTCTACAGTACTGCATTGTCCTCACTTCTACAGGCTTTCCTGGGTGAGAATCAGCCAGGGCACTATGGGCCTCAAGGAGTCATGAGAAGGTAATAGAGGAACTGAGGACCTTGGGGACAGGAATCTAAAGAACTTTTTGTGTGACCTTGGACATATCCCTTCCCCTCTCTGGGTCTCAGTGTCCTGGACCATAAAATGATAGGATTTTACTGGATAACCTCCAAAGTCCCTGTCAGCACCAACATTTGGAGACCTCTCTAATGTAGGTATCTATACATCAGGAAGCCTGTGGTTCCATCAGCAGAGAGAGAAGTCACCTCCAGTGTTTCAGGGCTTGATTTATTAGTTGCAGCTGAGATTTTAAATCCACCCATCCCTCCCCATGACAAACACGAAGTCCTAACCAAAGAGGAAAATAGAGCCTGAAGAAGCCCCGCAGCTCACCTGGGGGTCCCAGCTCTTGCTGAGCTAAGGTCAGGCCCACTCTGGTCCTGAGTGTAAGGTGACCTGCAGAGACAGAAGATATCTCCATATACTTCCTAGAATGTGTCCCTCACCAGAGCCAGGAGACCCCAGGACCCTATGCACAGATGCAGGAAGAAGCAGGGTGAGACAATTGAGACTGATTCATGGAGTTTGGGGGAGAAAAAGTGGTTGCATTGCTGTTCTAGAAGGAGGCAGGGCCTGAGAGGGATCACCTTAGCATGGCAACTGGTCCCAGCTAATCAGGGAGGACCAGCAAGAAACAGAGCGGTTCCTTCTCAGTTCCAGCCTGTCGGCCCAGAGGAAGACTGGGAATCTCAAAGAGAGGGGGACCCACTGAGGGGCAGAAGGCTCAGTGAGGAAGAAGAGCTCATGGAGGTGGCGCTCAGAGGAGACCTATGGTCAGTGAGGTGGGAGGCTAAGTAAGAGGGAGAGGAGAGGAAGGACCAAGATTGGGCAGGAGACCCAGAAGAACAGATGGCTCATTGCCAACCATCAGAAAACCCAGCCTGGCCCAGCCTGGGTTTTGGTTTTGTTTTTGGTTTTTCAGTACTGGAGGTTGAACCCAGGGTGCTCTATCACTGAGCTGCATCTCCAGTCCTTTTTATTTGTTATTTTGGGACAGGGTCTCACTAAGTTGTTGAGGCTGGCCTTGAACTTGCCATCTTCCTGCCTCAGCCTCCCAAGTCATTGGGATTATAGGCATGCCCAACCTCACCAGATCATCAATGACTTCCTATTCCCCCTTCATTCTCTTCTGGGTCATGAGCTCAGGAGGACCACAGTGCCATCCTCAGAGGCCCAGCCCCAATGGCCCCATGTCATCTAGAATGGGGCTCTCAGGGACCCTGGGCAAGTGAGCTATGTTCAGGCTGACCATTCATTGGTCTGGAAGAAATGTCTTGGTGGTCACATATTCCATGGCTCCAGAGCAGCCCCCAACTCATAGGGCACCCCTTGTGGCTAAAAGCCACCAGCCTGCAGGTCTGCGGTGCTTCTTCCTCGGCAGGCAGCCGGGCCTCAGCCTCCTGCCGCCCTTGCCCTGGCCTCCTGCCCACTGCAGAGGCTACTGTGCCAGCTGAAGCTGGCTGGCAGTACCTGGCTCGCTCAGCATCCTGCCAAGGGCTCTGAGGGCTACAAGGAGGCTGGGCCGAGTTCCCTGGACCTAGGGGTCTGGGCGCCTTCCTCAGCTGGGTGCCCCTGCCATCATTCCCCAGAAGCCCCAGGATGGAGGCAGGCTGAAGCAAGCTGTGTTGAATTTTTTTGCTTTTAAGAATGGCATGTTTTCATTGTTCGAGACTTGGGGAATTCAGAAACCAAGGAGAAAATTAAGAATCCACTGCCCAAAGATGAGCACTGTGAACGTGGTGGGGTATTTCCTCGTGGGCTTTTCCCCACATATCCACAGATACACAGAGTCAGTACCTTGGGAGCCTGCCATTGGGAGAGGCCTCTGTCTCATTTCTCACTTTGTCACGAGCATTCTCTGATGTCTTCAAAGATTCTTCATAATGCAAACTTTTTTTTTTTTCCTGGTGCTAGGGGTCCGATCCTTCGGTGGTCATGGTCATATCAAGGCTGGACATGGGTGTAGCTGCTTCCCAGGAAGCCAGTGAGAGTTGAGGAGAGAGCCTGGCCTCTGTCCTGCCCCTTTGGGTGGGCACATCTTTGGTGTCTGCTAGCTATCGGTTTCCCTTGGAGAGGATGGCTGCGTGACCTGTGTGCCAGTTCAGCCAGAACGTGAGGTGGGCCTGTCTCCTCGGGCCTCTCTGCCAGGGACTGAGGCAGGGACTAGCCAGAGCAGCTGGTGGGTAGAAGTATGAGAGGCTCGTATATCTCCTGGAGAGAACATGGGCCCCGCAACACCTCAGAAGAAAAGAGTTCAGAATCAGAATTAGGTGATTCCCGCCCTCCTGGGCTCTGATCTCACCTGGGCCCTACACCACCCTCAGGTCTGTTTCCTGTCCTGTAAAATGGACATGATAGTACCTGCCTCCAGGTGTGCTTTAAGTGGCACAGATAATACATATGAAAGCACCCCAGGAAGG